AGAAAACAGTAGACTGGGGGCTATTGTTTGAGTATTTGTTTGTCCATTTTGGCGTGTTTTTTTGAGTATGTTTTATTCTTCGTCGAAAATCCCCCTGTAGAGGGACACGCCCGACGTAACCCCACCAGCGCCCCCCAGGATCTCCAGAGGGGCCCCGCCACGGCCTCCACAGAGCCACCCCGCACGAGGCCCGGAGTCGGCCACGCGCAGAGGGGGGCGCGGGGGGGGGAGGAGGGCTTCTCAGAAGCGCCCCTGCTTCTCAGCAGGTGCGGGCCTCATCCATACATGCAATGCCCGCGGATTCCAAGGGGCAGCCTCCTTCTAAGAAGCCTCCCCCCCTCCCCCTATCCTATCAGGAAGGGAAAGAAACACGCAGACACAATTCATCGTCGATTCCCCAGAAAATATTGGAAACTATAGGAAGTGGGGGGGAAGACCACAGCCCAGACAATATAGGAAAATAGGGGGAATGCTGTTACTTGTGTGTATTTATTTGTGTGTCCCTGGGCCCCTTCATCCTTCCAAGGAGCCTTCCCCCCTCACCCTATCCTGCCGCGCGTGACCGACAGAAGCGGCACATGGGGCCGCAAGATGGAGCGGACAGGGGCACCTCTGGCAGCCCTGGGCCAGGGGCACCGTAGGCTTAAGTCGGGCCTGTCCCTCCACGGGGAAGATTCAAAAATGGTCAGAAAATAGAATGGGGACGATTGTCGAGCATTTTTTGCTCATTTTTGAATGTTCTTTTGGTATTTTACATTTTTCCTCAAATCCTCCCTGTAGGGGGACAGACCCGACTTGGCCCTAGGCGATGGGCTTCTTTGGTCGGGGGCACCTTGGGCCAATGGTTATGTCGGGCGTGTCCCCCCACGGGGGGATTTTCGACCAATTTGTTTCCCCAAAAATGCACCCAAAAAGTTAAACAATACTCGAAAAATAGTCCCCATACTATTTTTGGACTATGGTTTGGCTATGTTTGGGATATTTTTTCCCAACCCTCCCTTGGTTGGGTACTCGTTTTGATGAATAGAGCACTCTGGTCGCCCCGTCCTCCCGCCCACCTCCCTCGCGCCTCCTACCTCCTCCTCGCGGTGCCCTCTGGGGGGCTGCGATGTGCGCAACTGTCGCCTCTTTCCTGGGCTCCTGGGAGGCCCAGCGGAGTTGGGATACACGCAGATCACCTCGGGACCTCGCGGCGCCCGGGGGGGCTGCGATCTGCGCAATTGTCGCCAATTTCGTGGGCTCCTGGGAGGCCCAGCGGAGTTGGGGTACACGCAGATCACCTCGGGACCTCGCGGCGCCCTCTTGGAGCTGCGATCTGCGCAACTGTCGCCACTTTCGTGGGTTCCTGGGAGGCCCAGCGGAGTTGGGATACATGCAGATCTGCTCGGGACCTCGCGGCGCCTGGGGGGTTGCGATCTGCGCAACTGTCGGCACTTTCGTGGGCTCCTGGGAGGCCCAGCGGCGCTGGGATACACGCAGATCACCTCGGGACCTCAGGGCGCCTGGAGGGTTGCGATCTGCGCAACTGTCGACACTTTCGTGGGCTCCTGGGAGGCCCAGCGGAGTTGGGGTACACGCAGATCACCTCGGGACCTCGCGGCGCTTGGGGGGTGCGATCTGCGCAACTGTCGCCTTTTTCGTGGGCTCCTGGGAGGCACAGCGGAGTTGGGGTACACGCAGATCACGTCGGGACCTCGCGGCGCCTGGAGGGTTGTGATCTGCGCAACTGTCGGCACTTTTGTGGGCTCCTTGGAGGCCCAGCGGAGTTGGGGTACACGCAGATCACCTCGGGACCTCGCGGCGCCTGGGGGGTTGCGATCTGCGCAACTGTAGCCACTTTCTTGGGCTCCTGGGAGGCCCAGCGGAGTTGGGGTACACGCAGATCACCTCGGGACTTCGCGGCTCCCTGCGGGGGGAGCTGCGAACTGCGCAATTGTCGCCACTTTCGTGGGCTCCTGGGAGGCCCAGCGGAGCTGGGGTGCACGCAGATCGCCTCGGGACCTCGCGGCGCCTGGGGGGTGCGATCTGCGCAATTGTCGGCACTTTAGTGGGCTCTTGGGGGGGCCCAGCGGAGTTGGGGTACACGCAGATCACCTCGGGACTTCGCAGCGCCTGGGGGGTTGCGATCTGCGCAACTGTTGCCACTTTCGTGGGCTCCTGGGAGGCCCAGCGGAGTTGGGGTACACGCGGGTCGCGTCGGGACCTCGCGGCTCCCTGCGGGGGGTGTTGCCAACTGCGCAATTGTCGGCACTTTCGTTGGTTCCTGGGAGGCCCAGCGGAGTTGGGGTACACGCAGATCACCTCGGGACCTCGCCGCGCCTGGGGGGGGTGCGATCTGCGCAACTGTCGGCACTTTCGTGGGCTCTTGGGAGGCCCAGCGGAGTTGGGGTACACGCAGATCGCGGCTCCCTGCGGGGGGAGCTGCCAATTGCGCAACTGTCGGCACTTGCGTGGGCTCCTGGGAGGCCCAGCGGAGTTGGGGTACACGCGGATCGCGTCGGGACCTCGCGGCTCCCTGCGGGGGGAGCTGCCAACTGCGCAACTGTCGGAACTTTCGTGGGCTCTTGGGAGGCCCAGCTGAGTTGGGGTACGCGCGGATCGCGTCGGGACCTCGCGGCTCCCTGCGGGGGGAGCTGCCAACTGCGCAATTGTCGGCATTTTCGTGGGCTCCTGGGAGGCCCAGCGGAGTGGGGTTACACGCGGATCGCGTCGAGACCTCGCGGCTCCCTGCGGGGGGAGCTGCCTTTTGCGTAACTGTCGCCACTTTCGTGGGCTCCTGGGAGGCCCAGCGGAGTTGGGGTACACGCGGATCGCGTCGGCTCCTTGCGGGGGGAGCTGCCAACTGCGCAACTGTCGGCACTTTCGTGGGCTCCTGGGAGGCCCAGCGGAGTTGGGGTTACACGCGGATCGCGTCGGGACCTCGCGGCTCCTTGCGGGGGGAGCTGCCAACTGCGCAACTGTCGGCACTTGCGTGGGCTCCTGGGAGGCCCAGCGGAGTTGGGGTACACGCGGATCGCGTCGGGACCTCGCGGCTCCCTGCGGGGGGAGTTGCCAACTGCGCAACTGTCGGCACTTGCGTGGGCTCCTGGGAGGCCCAGCGGAGTTGGGGTACACGCGGGTCGCGTCGGGACCTCGCGTCCCTTTGCGGGGGGAGCTGCCAACTGCGCAACTGTCGGCACTTGCGTGGGCTCCTGGGAGGCCCAGCGGAGTGGGGGTACACGCGGATCGCGTCGGGACCTCGCGGCTCCCTGCGGGGGGAGCTGCCAACTGCGCAACTGTCGGCACTTTCGTGGGCTCCTGGGAGGCCCAGCGGAGTGGGGGTACACGCGGATCGCGTCGGGACCTCGCGGCTCCCTGCGGGGGGAGCTGCCAACTGCGCAACTGTCGGCACTTTCGTGGGCTCCTGGGAGGCCCAGCGGAGTGGGGTACACGCGGATCGCGTCGGGACCTCGCGGCTCCCGGGGGGAGCTGCCAACTGCGCAGTCGGCAGTTGGGGGGCCCAGCGGAGTACACGCTCGCGTCACCTCGCGGCTCCCTGCGGGGGGAGCTGCCAACTGCGCAAATGGGCGCTGGGAGGCCCAGCGGAGTTGGGGTACACGCGGATCGCGTCGGGACCTCGCGGCTCCCTGCGGGGGGAGCTGCCAACTGCGCAACTGTCGGCACTTTCGTGGGCTCCTGGGAGGCCTTGGGGTACACGCGGATCGCGTCGGGACCTCGCGGCTCCTTGCGGGGGGAGCTGCCAACTGCGCAGTCGGCACTTTCGTGGGCTCCTGGGAGGCCCAGCGGAGTTGGGGTACACGCGGATCGCGTCGGGACCTCGCGGCTCCCTGCGGGGGGAGCTGCCAACTGCGCAACTGTCGGCACTTTCGTGGGCTCCTGGGAGGCCCAGCGGAGTTGGGGTACACGCGGATCGCGTCGGGACCTCGCGGCTCCCTGCGGGGGGAGCTGCCAACTGCGCAATTGTCGGCACTTTCGTGGGCTCCTGGGAGGCCCAGCGGAGTGGGGTTACACGCGGATCGTGTCGGGACCTCGCGGCTCCTTGCGGGGGGAGTTGCGAACTGCGCAATTGTCGGCACTTTCGTGGGCTGCTGGGAGGCCCAGCGGAGTGGGGTTACACGCGGATTGCGTCGGGACCTCGCGGCTCCCTGCGGGTCGGAGCTGCCAACTGCGCAATTGTCGGCACTTTCGTGGGCTCCTGGGAGGCCCAGCGGAGTGGGGTTACATGCGGATCGCGTCGGGACCTCGCGGCTCCCTTTCGTGGGCTGCTGGGAGGCCCAGCGGAGTGGGGTTACACGCGGATCGCGTCGGGACCTCGCGGCTCCCTGCGGGGGGAGCTGCCAACTGCGCAACTGTCGGCACTTTCGTGGGCTCCCCAGACGCCGAACGATCGCTCCAGGACGTTCAAGGTGGGCCCCAGACGGCCCAAGAGGCTTCCAAGACGCTCCAAGAGGCCTCCAAAAGGCTTCATGGGAGGGCCCCGAGAGGCCAAAACCACGAATTTTACACGATCGTCTTTTCGGCTTTCCGGAGCTACAGGACGGCTCAAGAGGCACCCAATATTGCCCCAAGACGGCCCAAGAGGCTTCCCAGAGGGCCCGAAGACTGCCCACGAGGCCCCAAGACGGCCCAAGACAGCCACTCTAGCGAAGAGTACCGACTATCGGGATTTGCCAGGGATTCCCGCAAGTTGAAGCCGATGGGATTTGTCGGCAATCGCCGCGCTTGACCCTCAAGCGCGGCGATTGCCAAGAATGCAATTGTCGTCGCTTTCGTGGGCCTCTTGGACGTCCAGCGGATGTTCAGCTATTTTGAAAGCGCCAGTTGATAATGCCACCTGTTGCCAAAGGGTTGGGTACGTCCCTGGGTAATTATTTTTCGTCGGAAATCCCCCTGTAGAGGGGCAGGCCCGACTCAAGCCAAGGGCCCTTTAGCTAGAGCAGCCTTGTGCGAAACGCTGGGGGCGCCTTGGGCCAAAGGCACCTTTCACCCCCACCCAACAGGGACCAGGCCGCGGAGCTGGCCCTCTCCGAAGTCCTCGCCGCCGACACGCGGCTGGGAGACGACGCCCTGGCGGCCCTCCGGAAGCGCTACGTGGAGGAAAAGGTTCGATCAGTAAGCAGAATGTAAGCTGCCCCCCTGGCCCTGATAAAACTGTCAATTCGTGGCCTTACCTTAGGTCCACAGGTTTAACAGATATCTCTAAGCATATGGGCCTACTATATGGGTGGTTTCGTTTGACACGCCTGCTGCAGATGTGTCTTGTTTTTTTTTTTCGGATGATCTGCAAAGCAAGACCCCCTGTCACTGATGTCATGGCCCCTCCTGATTTAGGTCCTCTCTCAAAGACTCAGTAGTGCTTTTGTTGCACATCATTCGAGCAGTGACAAAGCGCCGTGGCCTGGTAGCAGTTGTTTAATGTATTGTTTCGGCGGTCGGCGCGAGCCCCATACCCCCCACTCTCCCCCCCTAAGAGACCAGATCTTGGCTGCTTTGGACAGCTGCTTTTTGCGACTGGTCAGGACCCCCACTCCCAGTCTGTTGCGTGACTGGTACAAACAGATCGACTAAGGACCAGCCCAGACCCAGAAACCCCCGTCCCCCAACCTTCGGCCTAATGTCGCAACCCAGAAAGAAGAAACGCTTACCCGTCGGTTGGCCCACCACAGCTTGTTCCAAGGATCCTCTGCGGTTTGCGTCAACAGTTCTCGTACCCTTTCTGGCTGGGGCAGTTTTGTTTGAAGACATCGGCTTCATGTTCGAAGACCATGGATCTTGTTATGAGAACGTTCCCTTGCTCTAAGAGCATGGCGTGGTAGGCCCATATGAATGTCAGAGCGGTCGCCCCCTGCTCACAAGGTGGAGAAGCATTGGAGGCTCGGGCTGGCACAGGCGTGCCTCGCGGGGTGACGGCGCCGTCGCGCGGCCTTCCGCGCGGCAAGTGGCCAGGGCGCGCCAGGCCTTGCCAAGTCCCAGCAGGCACCTCTTCCCAGACCCTCCTGCGCCATGAAACAACACACGACGTGTGGTTGTGCATCCTTTTCGGACCGTAAGGGCCCTCGCACGACTCGGGATGAAGAAGCGGTCCTGGGGAAAAAGGTAAAGATTTTCGGGGGGGGGGGGCGTACACTGCTGGTTTCAAAATACATGCTTTGCGTGCGGACCATGCAATAAAACATGCAGGGATTTAGTATTGAAAACAACGAGGAGTTCATGCATACATTCATTCATACATTAACCCCATGCATTAAGCATGCTATATGTTAAATATCCTATGTATAAAAAACTGCGCAGGGGCTCTCTGAGCATGACGCCACCGTGCCTGGCCAGGGCCGCGCCTCTGGGCCCCGGGAGGGCGCAGAGCCTCTCCCGGCCACGGGCCCGCAGAGGGCGTGCAGTCACGACGCTGGGGTGAGGACCACTTGGGGCTCCCCCGGGGTGAGGACAGCACAACCCACCCCCACCCCCACCCAGGGCACCCACCTCCGACCTGGTGGTCCAGGGTGCCCTGGGCTGGGGTGGGGGTGGGTTGTAAGAGCCGCGGGGCCCAAAAACACACCCCGAACCCCCACCCAGGGCACCCTGGATCACCAGGTCGGAGGTGGGTGCCCTGGGTGGGGGTGGGGGTGGGTTGTGCTGTCCTCAGGGGGGGGGGTCTCTTGCCATCCGGCCGTCCCGCCGGTCCAGGCCCGGGGACCCTCCCGGTTTCGGGCCGAGGCTCGCCACGGCCACGGGCGGCACGTGCGCTCGCCACGAGGCTTTCCCTGCGGCAGCACGATGGCTGTACAAAGGGGGCCCGTGCCAAGAGAGACCCTGCTTGCCTCCAGGGTGCCCTGGGTTTCCTGGATTTCGAAGGTTTTGCCGTGGAGAGTGCGACGTTCCCATGCCAAGAGTCAATGGATGTCCTGGGGTCTCAGGATTGGGTTTCTTGTCGAAGGTTTCCTGTGGACTAGCCTCCGCTGTACACGTCGTGCCACGGCCCAGGATCACATGATGGCTCTGGCCATGCACGCTGGCGGGGTCCAGGTGCCTCCTGCGCAGCCCAGCCGCACCACGAGGCGGGGCGAGGCGACCGGCACACAGGAGAGCGCAATAGCTGGCGCAGTGCCCGCGGTGTACAGATTTGACCTGCCCGAGAAGCGTCGCAGCGACGTGGCTGCTGCGTGCTGTGTGACACGTGCGCTGCTCCTCCTCGTCCCCGAAGAAGACAAAAACGCCAAAAACATAAACTGTTGGCGCTCCGCGCAGATTTCTTGGGTCCGCGGGAACTCCCGCGCGGCGCCTCGGCGCCGCCCCTGGCGCGCTCTGCGCGCCAGGGAGAAGGATCCAGCGCAGATCCAAGAACTCCGCGCGGAACGCCGAACATTTCTGTTTATGGCGTGTTCTTCTTCGTCTATTACTCAGGAGGGGAATCAACACACAGACACAATGAATCGGCGATTCCCCAGAAAGCATGGGAAGATATGGGAAGTGTGGTGGGGGAGACCAAGACCCAGAACATATGGGAACACATGGGGAATCTGATTACTCCAGATTTCGTAATAAAAGGGAGGGGGTCTGGACCCTCCAAGACAAGCCATTTCAGACCCCCCCCCCGTGGGAGAACCCTCCAAAACATCGTCCCCAGACCCCCCAGTCCCTCCAAGATAGCCTGGAAGAGACCCCCCCCCCGAAATGAGACCCCCCTCCCTTTATTACGAGATCTGGAGTATTTGTGTGTACGTATGAGGAGGAGGAGGAGGAGGAGGAGGAGGAGGAGGAGGAGGAGGAGGAGGAGGAGGAGGAGGAGGAGGAGGAGGAGGAGGAGGAGGAGGAGGAGAGGAGAGGAGGAGGATTCTGTGTGTCCCAGCTCCCCTTCATCTACGCCCTCCGCATCGCTCTCTTGCCGCGCCTCCTCCTCGTGGCCCTCTGCCGTCTCTCCTCCCCCTTTTCTCTCCTGGGTTTTGCGCTCCTGGCCAGCATAAGCATTTCGGTGCGGACCCGCCCCGGCGGCGGGGGCGCCCCGGGAAGCCCGCGACGGTGTCGAGAGAGAGAGAGAGGGAGAGAATCCTCCGCCTCCTTCTCCGCCTCCTCTCCTCTCCTCCTCCTCTCCCCTCCTCCTCCTCCTCCTCCTCCTCCTCCTCCTCCTCCTCCTCCTCCTCCCCCTCCTCCTCCCCCCCTCCTCCTCCCCCTCCTCCCCCTCCTCCCCCTCCTCCCTCCCCCCCCTCCCTCCCCTCCTCCCTCCTCCCTCCGTCAGCATTAGGATATAGACCGATAAGTACAGGCTTAAAAACTGCAGCCCGTTGGCAGGAACCACGCGCTGCATGCCGCCACGTCTGGACGCTCCCTTGCCATGGCCGAAGCAATCTACCATTCTATCGCTGGCGGCCTGGCACGCCATGACGAATTCGTTCCGTGTCCAGGCGTTCTATGGCCAGCTTCGTTTCCGGTGATCTCCCAGTCGAGATAGACAGGATGTCTCAGGGGCGAAAACGCGGCGTCGGACAGCGCTGCCGTCCTGCATTTCGGCAATTTTCCCCAGAAGCATCTGATTGTCGCAGCGGGCTAGGACAGCATCGTTCCAGACGCGACTGATGAACAAATCGGTACCTTCGGCCACGTTTTGGAGGCAGCGCGCGTGGAAAGCGTCAGACTTTCAATTTTTGTGGTTTGTTAAGCCACAGAGTGTACAAAGAGCACTTCAGACCTGACATGACGCACGACTGGAAGATCCACACCTTCTTGATCGTCTTGATTTCCGCGTGCTCTCAGATCTCGCAGTCATAGAACTACTTGTACGCGATGCCGATCCTCCTGCTTCGTGCCGCGCCGCTGCCGTCGTCCGCGTGCCGTGACCCACTCAGGTCGACCATGTGGTCCTGCGGCATTGCTGCCCCGTCTCGTCGTGCCGTGTGCGTCTCGCACCCCACCGGACAGACCTCGAGCATGCCCTCTGGCCTCGCGCACCCGTTCCGTGAGTTGGTGCGAGTGCTCTTCGGCGGCTCCGACGACGGGGCCTTTTAGTCGGGGCGCACACGAGCTCACCAACCGGGGCAGAACAGCCAGCGTCCCGGACGCGGGACATCTTGTTGCTATAGATCCCCTTTCGCTGGGTGGCGAGGTATCCAGGGACGCCGAAACGGATCAAAGCCTGCAGGAGCTGGCGACACGCTGTCAAATGTTTGAGCCCAGTCAAGGGCGAGGAGGAGTAATTCTTGACGCGTCCAGTATCCCCGCCAGCCCATTCAGCAACGATGCCCAGGCGAGCTGCCCTCATCAGGGAAGTGTGGAGAATGCAGTGGAACTAGGAAAGAAGAGGGAACCGAGCAGAGGGCAGAGGACGCGGACAGAACGCGTTCGTGGAACACAACTCAGAGCGTTCTCGGGGCTTCCTTGAGTTTCCCGAGGGGTGGAGGAGTGGCGATGAGGGGGGGATTGGGGGTTGGAAGGTGGGTGGGTGGAGGGGGAAGGTGGGATGGAGGGTGGGGTGGAGGGGGATGCGTGGAGGGGGTTGGAGGCATGGGGGGGGGGTTGGTGGTGGTGGCGGCGTGGAGGGGAGGGTTGAGGTGTGTGTGTGTGTGTGTGCGTGGATGGGGGGCGGGGGGCAGGGGGTGGGGGGGGGTCTGGTGGGTGGTGGGCCAGATTCCAGGAGAGAGGGTGGGGTCGACCAAAACACAAACGACACCACACCACCCACGACCCTCCATGTTGCGCTACGGCCCATCGGGGGCCGTAGCGTGGACCACGCAAACGCCCACGTTAGATCTCCTAGTATACGCCAAGTCCCGTGGGCCCGCAGGTGGGGTAGTGTCGTTTGTTTCTCGGGCCCAATAGGGAGAGGGCTTGATACGGAAGTTGGAAGAGGGAGTCCGCCAAGTCGCCTCCGCCCAGAGGGCTGGTGGGAGTAGCGTCGCGCCACCTAGAGCCGTTGAAATTCTCGGGCCCCTCTCGGAACGCTCTTGGCGCACTCTTGGGCGCTCTGGGGGCCGCCGTCGGGTTCTCTTGGGCGGCTCGTGGGGCTTTCGCGGGCCTTCCCGCAGCCACCTCGAGGCCTCGGACGGCAATCGGACGCGAAACGGCGAGGTCGCGAGCCACGGTTTTGGGCGGACGTGTGCTGCGTCGTGGTTCTCTTCGGTGCGTGCCGTGGCCACCCGGAGCTGTCCTGGAGCAGTCTTGGGGCCTCTCGGAGCGTGCTGGCAGCCATCCCAGAACGGAAGCCCATGTCAAGGCACGCCCTTGTTTGCCTCCAGGGTTCCCTGGCTTGCTTGTTTTTCGATGGTTTTGCCATGGCAAGCGTGGCGTCCAGACAGGAAATCAGTGGACGTCCTGGGGTCTCAGAGTTGGGCTTCTTGTGGAAGGCTTCTCGTGGTCGAGCCCCTACCGTAAGCTGTCTTGAGCCATTTTGGATGCCATCTTGTGCTCGCCGAGGCCATCTTGGAGCCATCTTGGGCCACATTGGACGCTCCAATCGGTCGCGGGGCGCCGTCCAGGTCCAGGGGATGGGGCAGTGGGAGGGGTTGTGCCCCTTCCCCCGAAGGGGAGAGAGGGAAGATGAAGAGGAGTCTTGCTAAACCAATCGCGCCCAGAGGGATGGTGGATGTCTCTTGAGAGCTTCTTGGAGTCCTCTCGGGGCGTCTTGGGGGCCCCTTGGCGGTCCAGGGGGCCTCTTGGAGCGTCTTGGGTACCTCTGGATAGCCTCTTGGGTACCTCATGGGTACCTCTTGGGGCCTCCTGGGCGCCTCGACCATCTGTTGGCCATCTTGGAGGAGTTCGATCAAGGAGGGGGGGGCATCAGACTAGGGGCTCCCCCCAAAAGCCCAAAATGAACCCCTAACCTGCGTACAATTACTGATGTTCACCTTTTTGCCGCGGCCATCGTGGACGCTCCACTCGGCCGCGGGGCGCCGCCCAGACCCAGGGGGGAGGGGGCAGGCTGCCCACCCGCCCGCAAGCTGTTTGGCTCCCTCCCGCCCGCCCTCCCAACACATCAGTAACACCCGAGCCTCAGCATGTTCAGCCTCCTCCTCCTCCTCCTCCTCCTCCTCCTCCTCCACCTCCTCCCCCTCCTCC